AAGCACTTGTCTAGCAGGCATGAAGCTCGGGACTACAAAAACAAAATAATAATAATAAAAACAACAACAATATGGAGAAAAGATAAAGCAAGGAAGAGCTCACCAGCTCACCACTGCCACAAACCTTCCAGGTTCTCCAACCCTAAGACACAAATGAAGGCTAGGAAAGAGACTTGCTGCTGAGGCTAAAATCCAGGCTGTCAGGCCCCTCAGGCCTCCAGCTGTCTACACACCAAGGAAAGCACCAAAATACACATCAGAAACCCAGAGGCCCAACCTCTTACCTCCTGTGTACAACTCACCACACCCTAGACCTGAGACACACACAGGAGTCCAAGAGTTGGCCCCATCAGAGAGGCCAGGAGGGCTCCAGGATGGAAAGTCACAGATGTCAAGCCTTCCTGTCTAGGTGCCAGAGTGTGCCTGACACTGGGAGAAAGCCGACTGGATGTGACAACATACCTCCAACCAGGACACATGCCCCCAGACACAACTGCGAGCCAGGACTCCGGGAGACATCTGCAGAGAGCGCAAGGAGCATGAAGCCCTGCAGCCCGGATGTTCCTCGACCTAGAGAGACACCTGGCTGAGCTTGCTGCTAACCTAAAAATGGGGGAAAGAAACCAGGTGTGGAGATGCACACCTTGAATCCCAGCAGAGGCAGGAGGATCTCAAGACCAGACTCAGCTACAAAGTGAGTTCTAGGACAGCCAGCGCTACACAGAGAAAGCCTGTCACGAGGGGAGGGGGAGCCCCACTATACTTACTGAATTCTCCCTGAGTACTCAAAAAAAAATCAGTCTATCAGTCCAACTGGGTGTAGTGGCTGGCGCACACCTTTAATCCAGGTGGATCTCTGAGTTCAGGTCTAAAGCCTAATCTACAAAGCAAGTTCCAGGACAGCTGGGGTTACACAGAGAAACCTTGTCTCGAAAGAAAAATGACCACAAAAAGTGGAAAGTTCTGGAGAGACCACTCTGCAATTAGGACAACTTGCTGTTCTTTTTGTTTGTTTGTTTGTTTTTGTTTTTCAAGACAGGGTTTCTCTGTGGTTTAGGAGCCTGTCCTGGAACTAGCTCTTGTAGACCAGGCTGGTCTCGAACTCACAGAGATCCGCCTGCCTCTGCCTCCCAAGTGCTGGGATTAAAGGCGTGCGCCACCACCGCCCGGCAACTTGCTGTTCTTTAGAGTGCCAGTACCCAGTTCCCAGCATCCTAGGAGGTTCATAATGCCTCAATTCCAACTCCGGCGTATCAGATGATCTCTTTTGTCTCCCGAATCCCCCTCACAAAGGTGCACACACATAGACACAAACTTAGCCTGGCGGTGGTGGTGCACACCTTTAATCCCAGCACTCGGGAGTCAGAGGCAGGCGGATCTCTGAGAGTTCAAGACCAGCCTGGTCTACAGAGCGAATTCCAGGACTGCCAGGAATGTTATATAGAGAAACCTTGTCTCAGAAAAACAATCAAAAAATTAAAAAACTAAAAAATAAACTTTAAAAACATTTAAATGGACTAAAGATGTGACCTAGTTGGTAAAGAGTTTGCCCAGCATGCAAGAAGCCCTGAGTTCCATCACCATCACTTAACAAAATCGAGTGTTGCCTCGTAGCCTATAATTCTAGCCAGAGGGAGGTGGAGGCAGGAGAATCAATCCAAGGTCATTTCTAGTTACAGACCAAGTTTGAGGCCAGCCTGAGCTATAAAAGATCCTGCCTTTAAAAAAAAATGTAGGGATGGGGGAGAGAAGGATTAAAAAGCAGATGGAGGCAGCAGCTTGCAGTTGCCCTGGACGATGTCCCAACCCCGCCATCCCCATCAGGTGCAGTCTGGCCTTGCCCAGCCTGGGGGAAGGAGTGACAGGGAAGAGTAGAGACAGCTTCAGTCAAGGGGCTCCAGGGACTCAAGGTCCACATTGAGTGAGGCCCCAACGTTTGCACGGTAAGAGTCTCAAGGCAATCTTTTGTAAAAACAGGAAAAAACGATCTGGTACAACTTCTACAAACCCACTAGTCTGTGTGCTGGGACCGTAGCTACGGTGGAGTCCTCGGTACCAGTGGCCCTAGCTTGTACAGGACTGAGTGGCCTGGGAATCTGGGGCTATGCTAAAGCCAGGAAAATTACAGCAAACCTGAACAAATCGGTGCCCTTAACTCCATGGAGAAGTCTAGGGCTATCAGACCCCACAGTAGATGAGAGAGTGCATTGGTGGCCCCATTGTTAGTATTCAGGCATCAGTACTGGCCTGCCCTTGGGGTCCTGACAGGATGCATCCTCAACTGCAGCCACTAAGAGCAGCTCCTGTGCACATTCACTACGTTCCCTTCTAAAAGGTGGGCCTGTGTGTCTCTCATTCTCTCTGTGTCTCTTCCCCCTTCTCTCTCTGTCTCTCTCTTCTCTTCCACTGCTCCTGTCCCCAGAGACCAGTCTCTCCCACTCACCTCCCCCTTTCCCCATCCCCTTCCCCCAATTAAACAAACAAACAAACAAACAACAACAACAACAAAAAAAACCTCCACGTGAACTCTGGCATTGGGGAGCCACTTCAGAATTTGTTAGGATGTCTCTACATACCACAGACTGAATAAGGTGGGGTGGAAACAAGACGGCATGACATGAAATTTACTCTCTCTCTCTCATTCTTTCTTTTCCCTTTTCCGCCCCAGAACTGAGGTTAGAGACCAGGGCCTTAACACTTGTTAGGCAAGTGGTCTGCCACTAACTACACCCCCAGGCTCATCTTCATCCTTTCTAAAGGTGTACGTCAGTGGTATTATATATCCCATGTTATAATCACCATGCACGATTTTCGTGCTTTCCAATAACCAGCAGGTATTACTTTAATGATCAGGTAGAGGGGGAAGGTCTTTATCTTATATTTAGACAATCTCCGGTAGCCCAGGCTGGCTCTAACTGGCTACGTAATTGAGGCTGGCCTTGAACTCTTGATCCTCCAACCTCTAAGTCCAGAGTACTGAGATTACAGGTAGAGGTCACTGCTCAACGCTTTTCTTTTTTAGGGTGTGGGTGTTTCTCTGTGTCAGAGCCCTGGCTGTCCTGGAACTCACTCTGTAGACCAAGCTGGTCTTGAACTCAAAGATCAACCTGCCTCTGCCTCCAGAGTGCAGGAATCAAAGGTGTGTGTCACCGCCACCCAGGATCAAAGCTTTTTATCTAGATTTTAAAAACATTTTTCTCTAGCCTATAGTACACACCTTTGCTAAAAGTATAAAGCACCTAGAATCCAGGTGCCTGAGCAGGGCTGGGAGATCATGGAGATCTTCGGGCTGGAGTTAGACTTGATCACTCATAACCTGGAAACTACAGGATTGGCAATCTCCCCTGCAGCAGAAACCCAGTCCTTTGGCAACAAGACTTGGATTCGAATGCTTGCCTGCCGTTCTCAAGAATCACTGAGTAGGTGCTAGATCTAGTTAATTCCCCCCTCCTGCTCACCAGGTCCTCCTTTTACCCCATGTATACAAGTGTATGGCCTCTGCATCCCACTAGACCCAAAACGACAACACCTCCAAGAAGCACCCCAATTCCACAGCAGGAAGACCCTGTCCTGGCTCCCTCCCCGGTAGGACTGTGGGCTCCCTGAGCATCAGGGCTGAGCCTGAGTCATGCAGCCTTCCCTTCGGGCCTGGCAGACTCAATAAAGCTTTGCTAAATGAAGCCATCGCGGGGAGAAATGACCCAAGCACAAGAAACGCCCACACCCCCTCACCAAGCTTCCCTCTCACAGCCAGGTGTCCCAGAGAGGTCAGAAGAAGACGAGGATTCCCACTTTACCTAGGGCCTGCAGGGACTTCTGCAATATGGGGAGTGCCAAGAATAAAGAAATTCAGGGTCACAAATCCTCATGGACATATCTGGGCTGCACGGCCATAAAGAGTGCCAGAAACAAGGCTCTCCATAAGGAGGACATTTAAACACTTTCTAAGACCAGAATAAATCCCAAGCCATTGCACCCATCAGACCCTGATATGGCCCTGAAAACCAGGACAGAGGGGCACCTCAGCAAGACTAGGTCACAGCTGACTTCAATCACAACCCCAAGGGTCCCTAACCTATGTCACCAATCCAGGTTCTTTCGGTCTTAGCCCTTCAGGAGCGAGCCCCAGACTTGCAGTAGCAAAACTCTCCTCCACGAAGCCAGCCAACCCCAAAGGACACCACAGCCCTCAGACCTCCTCTCCCTCCGGTGCAAAGCCCCAGAGCCTCTCCCTTCAAGCTGTTTTTGCCCCACACCCCAGGTCTGAGCTGAGCCCCACTCAGCTCTGGGGGTCCTGCACCGATTAGGTGGGCAGAAGGTTGCGAACAGACCGTCCTCCCTGCTCTCCATTGCGTGGAAGGGACCTTTCTCCAGACAACACCTAGGCGCCACTCAGGTGTATGCTGCGGCTAGAGGTGGGAGTATCGCCGATTCACAAAATGTCAGAGCCCAAGGGGGCCTCAAGAAGGCTCCTCCCACCCCTATAAATCGAGACACTAAAGCGTGACAGAAGAGGTGACGCTCCCCACCCAGCTCGGAACTGAATCCCTCGCTTCCCCGATCTTTTCTTGGGTGGTTCCCTGCCCAAGGTCACGCGGCTTAGCAGATGCAGGTCTTGGAGGAACCCCGGTATCCAGCACCACACTCAGGGCTCTGCAGCGTGTGGGATGAGCAACAAAACCTGGTTTGCGGTCCTCGCCCCGAACACGAGCGGCAGGTGCGGCGTGCGCCCTACCGAGAAGATCTACGCCCTGATCCGCGCCCCCCAAAAGCGGCCTTGAACTCGCGCTCCGTCCCCACGGACGCGCGCGAGCCGCGCTGCTAGCCGCAAAGCAGCGACAGCTTGGAGGTCACGGCGATAGGGCTGAGGAACTCGGCGGCGATGGCAGGGGAAGCAGCGTGCGGCCGGGATCCGCTGCACCGGCAGGGCCGGCCCGGCCAGGTGAGGTCGCGCCGCTCGCCGGCGCCCAGAGCCCCAGCCCGCCTTGCTACGTCCTTACCCAAGACACGACACGCAGGATGGTGTGTGGCTGCCGCACCAGGGTGTAAGGGTCGAAGGCGCCCCCGGCTTTGCCCGCTCCGTACGCACCCCCTTCCATCGTGGCTGCACCGCGCGGCGCCCCCCGCTCGGCGCACGCCGCCAACCCGTGCGCGTGCGCGGCGCCCCCGCCCCCTCTCCTGCGCGCGGCTGGCGTGGTCCCGGGCTCCCGCTAGGGGGCGTACGTGCCAGGCAGGCGAGGCTCTCGGGAGCGCGCGCTCGGGGAGCGCGTGCTGCTGTGGGGGTCTCGGTGCCTGGCTAGCTCCTCGTGAGCGGGATGATCTCTGTCTGCAAGGTGGTGCTGGGTCGGTGTGCAGACGCGTCCCCGCCTTCGGGAGCACTCCAAGCTGTAGCTCTCCAGGAAACCCTCTTCGTTATTTGTTTGTTTGCTTGTTGTTTATTTGCCTTTCCTGTCGCTGTCTTCCTAAATAGAGTGAAGGGGCTCTGTTTGACAGTACGTTGGTCATTGAACGCGCCGCTAAATCGCTGGCCTCAGGAATGACCCGCTCTAAGAGACCTGCAGAACCTCTGGCCCCCAGAACCCCTTTGCCTCCTAGCTCCACCGATGACGTCATACTTGCGCATCCCCCAACCCCCCACCCCCGTCTAGTGGGACCCGTAAGGGAGGCAAAAGCTGGGGGAGCGGGAAACCACAGATCTTGTGAGATTCCCTTCCCCTACACCACAGCTCCCTGCTTCTTTCCTTAATCAAGTAATTAATTATGTAATTATTTCTTCCATTGTCTCCTCTGCGTGTCTGTGGGCTGCGCATCTGGCCAAGTTATGTCTTGTTTGCTATATCCAAAGTCCTCACAAACAATAGGTGGTCAATAAATACACCCTAGCCCTCATCATAGTCCTACCCTTCTCCCCCTAACCCCCCACCTATCCTTACACAATTTGACCTAAGGGCTCCAGAATTTGTTGTTTTTGAGACAGCATCTCTTGTAGTCTAGGCTGACTTCTGGAACTCACCATGCCATATGGAGGGGGATGATTTTGAACTTCAATCCTCTTGCTTCTTCATTCCAGCTACGGTGTTTCAGGCCTGTGTTACCATATACATCTGCAATGAGAAATCTTTGAGGCAGCTGTTATACTATGCTATATATAAAGTGTATATATACATATATATAAGTTTATATATATATAAAAACTTCTAGAAGAAAGCAAGAGAAAATCTTTGTAACTTTGTGCATAGGCAGAATTTTTGTCTTTTTTCTTCCTTCCTTCATTTATTTATTCTTTTTTTTTAAATATTTATTTATTGTGTATACAATATTCTGTCTATGTGTATGCCTGCAGACCAGAAGAGGGCACCAGACCTAATTACAGATGGTTGTGAGCCACCATGTGGTTGCTGGGAATTGAACTCAGGACCTTTGGAAGAGCAGGCAATGCTCTTACCCTCTGAGCCATCTCTCCAGACCTTTTTTTTTTTTTTTTTAGTTTTTCAAGACAGGGTTTCTCTGTAGCTTTGGAGCCTGTCTTGGCACTAGCTCTTGTAGACCAGGCTGACCTCGAACTCACAGAGATCCGCCTGCCTCTGCCTCCCGAGTGCTGGGATTAAAGGCGTGTGCCACCACCACCCGGCTATTTATTCATTTTTTTTAAATGTTTATTTATTTATTATGTATACAATATTGTGTCTGTGTGTGTGTGTGTGCAGGCCAGAAGAGGGCACCAGACCTCATTACAGATGGTTGTGAGCCACCATGTGGTTGCCGGGAATTGAACTCAGGACCTTTGGAAGAGCAGGCAATGCTCTTAACCACTGAGCCATCTCTCCAGCCCCTTTATTCATTTTTTTGAGGCAGGATTTCTCTATGTAACAGTCCTGGCTGTCCAGGAACTTGCTTGGTAGACCAGGCTGGCCTTGAACTCACTGAGATCTGCCTGCCTCTGCCTCCCAAAAGTTGGGTGCCACCGCCACCCAGCTCATTTATCTTGCATTAACATTTGCCTTCATGTTTGTTTTTTTTTTAATATTTATTTATTATGTATACAATATTCTGTGTGTATGCCTGCTGGCCAGAAGAGGGCACCAGACCTCATTACAGATGGTTGTGAGCCACCATGTGGTTGCTGGGAATTGAACTCAGGACCTTTGGAAAAGCAGGCAATGCTCTTAACCTCTGAGCCATCTCTCCAGCCCCTGTCTTCATGTTTGTATGTGCACCATATAAATGCAATGCCTGGGGAGACCAGAAGAGGGCTGGGATCCCCTAGAACTGGGAGCCAAACTCTGGTCTACCACAAGAGCAACAAGTGCTCTCCAGCTCTTTTGTTTTATAACAAGGTCTCACACAGTCATCAGACTCACTATGTAGCCTATGCTCAGCTCAAACTTGGGGCAATCTTGTGAGCTGAGATCTCAGTCATGAGCTACCACACCTGGCTCAGCATTTGCTCAGAAGCACAAAGCTGTGTGTGGCCAGGAGGGTTCCTGGACTGAGCAGCCAACCCGTATTTTTTTGTTTTTCGAGACAGGGTTTCTCTGTACCTTTGAAGCCCATCCTGGAACTAGCTCTTGGAGCCCACCCAGGCTGGCCTCGAACTCATAGAGATCTGCGTCCCTCTGCCTCCCTAGTGCTGAGATTAAAGGTAAGTGCCACCACCACTCCGGCTCACTACACATTCTTTTTTTTTTTAACTATTTTATTGATATTTATTGAGCTCTGTGTTTTTCTCTGCTCCCCTCCCTGCCTCTCACCTCCCCGCTTTAATCCTCCCCCAAGGTCCCCTTGCTCCCAATTTACTCAGGAGATCTTGTCCTTTTCTACTTTCTACTTCCCATGTAGATTAGATCTATGTAAGTCTTTCTTAGTGTCCACATTGTTGTCTAAATTCTCTGGGATTGTGCTTTGTAGGCTCGCTTTCTTTGCTTTATGTTTAAAAACCACCTATGAGTGAGTACATGTGATAATTGTTTTTCTGTGTCTGGGTTACCTCACTCAAAATAATGTTTTCTAGCTTCATCCATTGTCCTGCAAAATTCAAGCTGTTGTTATTTTTTCTGCTGTGTAGTACTCCATTGTGTAAATGTACCATATTTTCCTTATCCATTCTTCGGTCAAGGGGCATTTAGGTTGTTTCCAGGTTCTGGCTATGACAAACAGTGCTGTTAAGAACATAGTCGAGCACATGTCCTTGTGGTACGATTGAGCATCCTCTGGATATATACCCAAAAGTGGTATTTCTGGGTCTTGAGGAAGGTTGTTTCCTAATTTTCTGAGAAATCACCACACTGACATCCAAAGGGGTTGTACCAGCTTGCATTCCCATCAGCAATGCAGAAGTGTTCCCTTTTCCCCACAATCTCTCCAGCATAAGTTGTCATCAGTGTTTTTGATCTTGGCCATTCTTACAGGTGTAAGATGGAATCTCAGAGTTGTTTTGATTTGCATTTCTCTGAAGACTAAAGATGTTGAACATTTCCTTAAGTGTCTTTCAGCCATTTTAGATTCCTCTGTTGAGAGTTCTCTGTTTAGGTCTGTACTCCATTTTTTATTGGATTATGTGTTCTTTTGGTGTCCAATTTCTTGAGTTCTTTGTATATTTTGGAGATCAGACCTCTGTCTGATATGGGGTTAGTGAAGATCTTTTCCCCTTCTGTAAGCTGTTGTTTTGTCTTGTTGACCATGTCCTTTTCTTTACAGAAGCTTTTCAGTTTCAGGAGGTCCCATTTATTAATTGTTTCTCTCAGTGTCTGAGCTGTTGGGGTTTTATTTCGGAAGTGTTTCCCTTTGCCAATGCGTTCAAGTGTACTTCCCACTTTCTCTTCTATAAGGTTCAGTGTGGCTGGCTTTATGTTGAGGTCTTTGATCCATTTGGACTTGAGTTTTGTGCATGGTGATAGATATGGGTCTATTTTCATTTTTCTACATGTTAAATATGCTTTCTTTTTTCCATTTGATATTTTTTGCTTCTTTATCAAATATCAGGTGTTCGAAGATGTGTGGATTGATATCTGGGTCTTCTATTCTGTTCCAATGGTCTTCCTGTCTGTTCTTATGCCAATTCTTTTTTTTTAAATATTTATTTATTATGTATACAATATTCTGTCTGTGTGTATGCCTGCAGGCCAGAAGAGGGCACCAAACCCCATTACAGATGGCTGTGAGCCACCATGTGGTTGCTGGGAATTGAACTCAGGACCTTTGGAAGAGCAGGCAATGCTCTTTACCTCTGAGCCATCTCTCCAGGTCCCCCAATTCTTTTTTTTTTAAAGATTTATTTATTTATTATGTATACAGTATTCCTCTGCATGTATGCCTACATGCCAGATCTCGTTACAGATGGGTGTGAGCCACCATGTGGGTGCTGGGAACTGAACTCAGGACCTCTGGAAGTGCAACCAGTGCTCTTAGCCACTAAGCCATCTCTCCAGCTCCTTACTAAGCATTCTTGAAGGTTGTTGAAACATTCTCCATCTTGTCCGTCTTGACCTTGTCCCGAGTTCTATGCCACAACGTAAATGAACACGTTGCTTTCTCTCCCTGGTATCAGAATTTATCCAGTAACAATAAATTCATAAGGTGGAGCAGTTTCAACAGCACCTGTTTGCCAGATAACCCTGCCTACCTCCGTGATCGAGCTAAGGTAAACGCAGCTGCTCTTATTCTAATCTTACTTACTAAAATTAACTCTCTGGTCACACATTGCACAGTAACTCACTCAAGCCGGCTGCACGTAAGTGCTGTACACAAGGAGTGTGCAGTTCGACAGGCTACTGCGTTGGCGTTGTTGAAGGTGTTTCAGAAGCGGGCCGACAGAAATGCAAATAGAGTCAGCCTTAATCAGATAAGGAACCAAACCAGCTTCAGGGAAGAGGATATTGCTGTAGAGATCACTGGAGATCAGCATTGAGAGTGAAGATGGAGCCAGCTACAGGGATGAAAGGACAAGCCTGGCCAGAACAGATCCAGGCCCAAACCGCCGGGGAGGCAGACAGGCTCAGGAGTAAGCCACGTCAACAACAGGGACTGGGCTGAGCTTAAAGCTCAGCAACAGCTGTTCCATTTATTTATTGTTTTTTATTCATTTATTTATTATGTATACAACATTCTGCCACCATGTGTGCCTGAAGGCCAGAAGAGGGCACCAGATCTCGTTACAGATGGTTGTG